TCCTCGGCGTTCGTCGTCGTCGTCGTCGTCGTCGTCGTTGTCTAGACTCCTTGCAGACATGACCTAAGGCCCGGATTAATTTTAGCAGTATTTTGTTTCGTCTGCCGGTCGGTGTCGTACGCACACGGAGTACCATCCAGACAAACCCGTCGTGTCGACCCGTCGCCCCTCTAACCCGTTCGGTATTCCGAAATATTTCCCATGCACGCGTGACGCGCGTTTCACGGAACTGCGTCGCGACGTCGAAAGTGTTAGCACTCGTCTAGAATGGTCGCCGATGATGATTCCACTTGCCCGTCACAATGGCGGTCGCTTCCCCGAAAAAGAGGCCGTCAGGTTGTCCCGACATAACAGATTGTTAAGTTGAACGTACAGCATAACGCGTTAATGGCGTATAAGAACAAAAAAATCCGTGTTCTATGCCATGCGTTTAACGACTAACTTTAGTCGCGTACGATAATTTATTCGTGTCATTTGATGTGCTTATATCCGAGGTAAACACAGGATTAAAGTCAAGCGGTCACGTTTAACGTTAAGCGATGTGAATAAAGATCAAAGTGTCAAGAAGATATGCGCGCGAAAATGCTTTCAAGATAAAGAGATACGCCACGGGATTTAATATTAGCCCGAGCGCGCTTTTACCGTGTACTAATTTTTTACGGAGGAAAAATGAATTTAATACCAGTTTGAGTTTTACGATATGAGGGAAGAATGTGTGTGTGTCTATTATGTGTGTATGTGTGCAGTAATGCTTACGATATTCTTCGTCCGTCATGAACGTCTTGGCTCCTACGTTAACCCGATATCTCTCGGATTCGTCTACACCGGAAGAAATTACATGGTTACACATGAAATCCTGAGCGCGCAATGCACGTAAGTTATCCCTAACTTTATGGATAATCCAAGAATGCGTAAGCGAAACACACCTTTAATTACACATTGCGTATTGGAACTGGCGAACATGCGAATGCAATCCGTAAGAAATATCTTCTTTCTATTGACCTAAAGATAAATCGCCAATTTGGTCAATTTGTCGAGAAATATCATTCACGGAAACTATATTTAAGTATATAAAAAATATTTTAAGTATATAAAAATTTATATATATATTATATATATAATTTTTAATGTATATATTTATCCATAAAAATACAAATTTTTTTGTTTGTATTTTGAGCCATTTTTCTTTTAACATTTTTATATATTAAATTTCGTGAATGTTAAGAGGGGATTAAACTTTGGATAATACGAAACAAGATCAGGACATTTCTTTGGAATGATAAATCTTTTCGTGGAAGTCTCGATTATGTTCGATCGTGTATGCTAATATTCTTAGTACGGGTTCGTGCATGGATTACAGTTTGCGAAAAAACAACGGCGGTTTCACCGGCGACTGAGGCAGCACGCTATTTCCGCTTTTTGCCTAGGTCCACTTAACCGCGAGGCGAATCGAAAGCTCTTCTACCGTAGAAGATTTATATTTTTCCTGTAGTTATATACGCGTAATAATTCTTGGAATTTTTAATAAGATCACAGAGATTTTCATTGCGATAATTCAGCCGGTATAGTACCCGAAGGCTTAAGAAATGTGTGTGTGTGCAAAACATGTTCAACGTCATTCATTTTGAAAATTACTTTTATAATGGGAATATGTATCTGTTTTCTGTTTTTCATGCTATAAATGCAATAATTATATTTCTTATTATATTTATTATTCGTTATTAAAATATATATATAAACGCTGTAAAAGATACTACATGTGCAAAAGGAACATAAAACGTATAATTTCCGCTCTTATGATACAAAAAAAGATATTCAGAATTCTTTCTTTTTTTATCTTTGACACATGCAGCCATCATTGCATCAATTTCTCAATTTCGCAACGTCGGTGACCTCGTGTTTGCGCACACAGGAACGTACCCGCGTACGTACGCTCGCTTCAAAGTTCGCTCATCCGAGACGCGTCCGAGTGCCCCGAACGAGAGAACGAAGACAAATGAAGAAAACCGAAGAGCGAGAAAGGGAGAGAGACAGATAGGGGAAGGGACGGTATAAAGGATACCGC